TCTGCGGGCTCTCTTCTCTGCACCCCCTCCGGAAAGGGGTAACGTATCGAGATACACGCGAGAGCGCCGAGGGGTTGGATATCTCTCGACGGTCCGTTGTTGCTGCCTGGTTTCGGGCTCGATTTACAGCACGAGAACGCACGACTTACGGAATTCCCGTGGAAGTCCGATGTGGCTCGTCTTCCCTCTGCCTCTCTCTTCCTCGCTCTCGCTCGTTTGGGTATACGTCTGTTTACCTCGTAGCCGATCCCCGACGATCTTCTTCTCTTACGGGGGAAACGGATCAGCCGACGTCGCGGATTTACGGCGCGCGGAATTCGGACGACGCTCGTTCGTCTTGGCGCGTTACTTCCGGTAACTCGGCGGATTCTCCCTTTCTCTCTTTCCTCTTGCTCTCCGCGGAGTCTCGAGTGTGCCGATATTTTTCTTCGAGCAGACTACAAGTGCGACGAAAGAGGGAGGAAGAGAGAGAGAGGACCGCGGGGTCGGATCGAGAAGACGCGCGCGTCTGGGGAAAGGGCGGCACTCCTATTATTTTGCGGTTCCGCGCCTCCCACTGACGTGAAATATACAGCCTATGGAAACTTAGTTTCCCGCCTGCGAATTCCCGAGCTGTCGGCATCGGAATTTCTCGTCGCGTTATTTTGCGATTTTACACTCGAATTATAAGCAGATACGCGGCGCCTACGAGTTTGCCTCATGTCTGCTGGAATTTTTGACTCGTTCACGTCGACGTTGTTTTTCGTTTATTTTGCGGCTTCGTATGGTATATGAATTCACGTACTTTTGCCATTCCTCATGCTTGCAGACTTGATTTGAAATTTCTTCACTGAAGCGTTAACACGAAAATGTCAATGTTAATACTGTACTAGATTTTTTTTCAGTGCATTTAAATTTAGTTCATTTCAAAACATATTTTTTCCAATCGATATGTAAATTATAACAATATATATGTGTATATTGAAAAAATGTTAACATTATATTTATAATCATTCAAAAATAAAGCATATTTCGATATAAAATAAAAAATTATATTTTTTAAATATATATATATATATATACACATATACACTCTTAAAATCACGCACACGTGTGCGCTCTACAATATACACTTTTTAAAATCGTATTAGAAAAATGTAAAATTTTTCAATTAATATTTTTTTCTCCGTTATACAATTTCGCGTACAATATTAAGATTCTTGTGGAAATCGCCAGGAAAGTGATATATCTATAATACTTATAAATTTAATTTTTTACTCAAGACTATACAAGGAAAATTCCTTTGAAATTACGAGAAATATCGAGAATAATATAAAGGCACGGAACACGTTTGCACCGGGTTTATCAACTGAAGTTAAATTGCACGTTAAGAAATATGTGCGCCATAAGGCCGCGGTTGGAAATTCTTTAATGATCCGCGATGGAGTCGGTCTTGGCGTGGTAACCGGAAACGTACGGGCTTACGAGAAGATGTTGGACGCAAGAACGAGGACGGTGCGTAGCGAGATTCTGTGACAAACGACGCGACTATACGTTATCTCGGAGACTGAGATACATGTCTCGGGGGGGAGGAAGTTTCCCCTGTAGTTTCGCGCTCGAATTACAACGGCAACGCGCATTCGGCGGCGTTTTCTTTCGCGCTCTGTTATTCCCCATTCCCGTTTTCACGTGCCCCCTATCATTTACGCGCTTCTCGACGATATCGCGGTCGGAATTGAAAAAGAGAAAATACGCATTATACATAATCGATGGCGATATGTCAATCTATTTGAAGTTGTACGTGCGATATGAAAATTCTGGGCTACGCTTTCGCGGAACTACTTTTGATCATTCGGTACGTCAAGCGGCTAAAGAAACACGCATGTTAAGAAAGAAATGGCTAACTGTTAAAATATGATGGACTTGCATTAGAAGGAACTTTAGCAGTATTTTTCGAGAGAAGGCGCATCCAGGAAGATGCATGGGCTCAATTAAGACCAGGCATGCATCATAAAGTTTCGTCCAACTAACGTGGACGCGTGCGGTATGCAAAAATCTGTTGGCAATTTCGAAAAATTTTACAGGCTGCGCTATCATACATGCAACGAAAAGGAACGAGAGAGATAAATCCAATTCCTTTCACGTTTACGCGAATTATTAAAGGCTTCACTCGTACGTTTCGAGAGGAAAAGCTGCGTTTGAAGAGAGCAAGAAAATTTCTCACTCTGTATATTTATTTACATATTAATTAATATGACGACAAAGTAAAAATTAATTCTTAACGATGATGCAGTTCAAAAATATACTTTAATTATAATACACGAACAATAAAAAATTAGAATTTGAAATATAAATGTCATAGAATGCCTTGTGCTAAATTAAAAATTTAGCAGGTTGAAAATCCTAATATCTCACTGTTGCGATAGTCAACAACATTAGCAGCGAGTTAAACCGCCTTGGTGTTGGCGCGTGAATGCATTGTGCCACAGGATAGTCGCATCGATTTTCGTATAGATATGCGCGTGTGTGTATCTGTATGTGGAAGCGGATTATCTCCCGATGTTCCGATTCGTCGGTCAGAATAGAGTTCTCCGCCGAATTCATGGAGAGATCGATATTGAGCGATCGGAGCTGAAGCGGCGTGTCAGTCACCTTCGGATTCCTCAAAAATCGCCGGTTAGCGGTCAGTTTGCGGCGGGATCGCGCTCTATACTCGGAATACTTCGGATAGAATCCGAGAGAGAATTCTCGGCGTCCACAACGTCGGCAACTGTCGAATTAATCCCGCCGTGTATGTACGTGCACGCCTCTCTGTCCCCGTCTTTCTCTCTCGGAGATACGTCACTTCCGGCGTCCGTCCGGGGAAGTCGCGGTCGGCCGCAGCGCGATCCCGCTCCTCGCAAATACCGTTCGCGGACGGTGTCAGTTTTGCCGGTTTCTTCGCCAAACTATTCCGAACCTCCCGCTAACAGCTCGGGAAACGACTTCCGTCGATTTGACGGAATGCACGGATCACTCCGTTCGTCGTTCTATACCGCACCGTGTACCGACTTCCCGATTTCTTTAGCCCGAAAATTCCTCGGCTGGCGCAAGAATTTCGGTTGGCGGAAATTCCAGCGTCTCCTCGATATCGTTCATTCGCTGCTCGAAAAATTCTCCTCGTGCGACGCCTTACGCGTCGTCCCTGCGACGTTTCGTGGAATAAAAGAAGCTGCCTGTCGTGGATTTAATTGAATATCCATTATTCGCGAAGTGGAGATCATGTGGCAAATATATTTGTTTCGCATACTGAGGACAATAGCTTCGAGCAGAATTAAACATGTAATATGTTCAAGTTCTTATTTGGATTATCGCGGTCTTTCGATGACGTGTTTAATTTTAACAGTTTAATGAAAAACGACGGCGATGAATGATGGATGCATCGCGGATAGCTGTAATCGCGTCTCTTGGTTTTCGAGATATAATTCGCCGTCGGGATAAATGTATTTCTGGACATACGTTTTATGCTGCTAATATGTTAATATATTATATGGATCTGAGTGTGTCAGTTACTTTTAAAATCCGTTGTGTCGTCGAACGCGATGTGTCACGCTCGAAACATTGCTCTCTCGAAAATGTCGCGATGCATTTTACGTGATGTTTACTTATTAAAACCTACGAGCAGAGCATAGTCGATATATTGAACGCTTGCACTCGTATTTGCTGGCGTCTTTGTAATACACTGACGAATTTAGATAATACGTTGACTACATCTTACATTGTCGATAATATGATATTAAAGATATAATAATATTGCAATAATTGTAATCATACATATTAAAATATATAATGATGTGAAAATCGATCAGTGAAAATTTGGTCTTTAATCGGTACATTTCACAAGTTTTCTGCTTGAGTAATCAATTCATTAATTTATGCCGAATGCCATAAAATCACAAATATTATAACATTGAATTTACAAGATATCATAAAATAATATTATAAATATTTTAAATATCACGAATATGTTATTGTATGTTCTCTATACACTATTCCGAATACTGTATATTATGATTATGAAAGAATTATTAATTTATATTTACAGACTGATATATTTATAGTTCTGTAATAATTTTCAGTTTTTGATTGAAGTTGTAATTAATTGTAGATTCGTACTCTAGATTGTTATTCAATTATTTGAATTAATATCTTAGTGTTTTGTATTGTGAATTCATGTTCGAAAAAAAATCATTTTATAATTTGTAAATGATTTTTTTATATTTCATTATCACTTAATCTGTTATTATTAAAAATAATCACGTCGAGATCCTCTCTTTTCTCTTTTATATAATATTATATATATTATTGAATTTTTTATATTTAACAGTAGTTTAACGCGCAAATTATTATGGAGAATAATTAAATATAAAGAATTAAATAATTAAATGAAAGAGAATTAAATAATTAAATAAAAGAAAATTAAATGCAGGCATTCTTTCATGAACATGCGAATAAAAATATTGTTGATGATTTAGCAATTTTAATTATAAAAGAGACTAAAAAACCATATTACATTACTCGTTAATGTTAATATTATCGATATTAGATATATAATTAGTATTATATTGTTAATATTGAATATAATTAATATTATATTGAAATATATTAATATTAGAACAACTGATGTATGAATAATTAAAAATGGACAAAACTACGATTTGTCGATAAATAATGATCGATTATGAATTATAGACGCAATGAAAGATGAAAGTTGCGCACTCGTAATTCTTTTTTTTTTTTTTTCTAGTAAAATAATTCCAACAGTGAGTGTGCGAAATGTAGTATTTGGCATACAAATTCTCTGGCTTCGGAGGCAAAATGTAGAGTTTCGGTTTTTCGGTCGTAGCTCGTCCTATAAGCTCAACCGCGAGTCGTACGTTGCAAACGATTATTGTTGAGAACAAACATTCGTGGGAGCTTAAGTACTCGATGGTTTGCGGCGACCAATCCATAAACTAATCGCGAGTTTTGTATCATTGCAGAAAAGCTGCCGGCAAAACTACGAGCCGCTGGAGCATCGTCACCGCAGCGCCGAGTTCTCGCTTTCATCGACACGGGTGAGTCTTCATTTTTACATTTTTTCTCCATCATTTTCTCTCTGCCTTTTTCTCTCCCTTATGATATCATGCATTTTCTACAACAAAATCAAAAAAATTATGTGTGGCACTTTATCAGGCGTCCAACGATATTTCTTATTTGAACTTTATCGGCTATCTAATATCTGATAGTTGATTTAATACGTTTAATGTGTCTCTTCTTCTTCGATTACACATGGCTCCGTTTGACTTAAAGTCGATTTGTCATCTTAATAAAAATCTTTCAAGACATAATAAATTTCTTTTCAAAGTTAAACATCTTGGTAATTGAGCCTGAAATTACAGTTTCTGTCAAAGTAAAGTCCATTCGAAATTAAATGCAAATTTCTCTCATTTATATGCACATTTCTATAAGAGGAATTTTTCAATGTTCTATTTTTTAATTCTCTTGTTAACATTGTTTAACTTTTATTTATTTTTCATTCATAATTACTATCCCAACGTTGAAGCGAGCGGTCATTCTTTTATCATTTAGCTTTCGGTATCGTCTATTTCGAAAATGTTATTGAGCGGTTATTGAGACACGTTATACTTATTAGGTACATTTCTTAAAAAAAAGAAAAAAGAAAAACTTTATGCCAAGATTATAACAAACGCCTTCCTCACCGTCTTATCCGCATTTAAATATCGTCAACGTTCGTCGCGTAAGAAAGTTTTGGCGCGCCGCCGCACCCATTACGCCGTTGTATCGATATCACGCTCGTAACGGCGAGGGGTCGAGTTGATTGACCCCGCATAAAGTGCGGAGCTTGTGGGTCGTGTGCCGGGTATCTTGAAAATCTCGTGGGTCAGGGCGTGGTGTGGCCGACGACGACGGCGGGGTCTGCAATCAGGCTGGTGGTGCGTTCAACGAGGAGCCTCGCCCCGCCTCGTCCCTCTGCCCTCCGCGCACGCACACATCGTTGCGTATCCACGCGTTACACGCAACGCACGCTCCAACACCTAGCCGCACCGACCGTTCTGATTAGCGGCAAATAATACCCGTAACAATAGCTACCGTTCCCTAACACGGCTTGTTCGGCGCTCCTTGTTGGTCGTACGTGTACGCCGCGTGTTTGTATTTGTGCGTGCGTGACTCTCGACGGTGGTGCGTGCGTGCGTAAGACCCTTTGCGCCAGTCTCGTCGAAAGATCCGATCGGCGCCCTTTGCGCCAAAGCCCCGAAGACACGAGTCAGTCAATCCCCATCTGCTTTCGATTCCTCTCAGCTTCTCTCTGTCTTCATCTTCCTTTCTTTCTCTTTCTCTCCGTGCGTGTTCCCCTTACGCCCTACGTCCGCAGAATTTCGATGATCTTCTCGTGGAAACAGATTTATCGCGCCTCTTCCCGAGTTTCCTGGACTCTCTTGATATCTTTCGGTTCCTCCAGTATCGATCACGAGATGCGCCACGGTTAGCTCGAATCTGCCGCCTGCGCTATTTTATCCATTTTTTTTTATTTTTTATCTTCGTACAAACATTGCGAGTTTACCGAGATACGTTGAATTCTTTATAAAGACGCTTCGCAGACATGATTTATTTAAAATTCGCGAAGGCAGAAATAAGAGCCACGATATATACAGAGATTCGTTTTTATTTAGTTTAATTCGCGAAACGAAACTTTATCCACGCAACAATGACAATTGCAATAATGATGACGGCGAGAACGGATGTCGACAAAAGCTATTCTGACGACCCATTTGGAAGTTTTCGTCGCCTGGACATTTCGTTATCTCATTTTCGCTTTTGTTTAATGTCGCTTCTTATCGTATCCCGAGTGACGAAAGTTATCGTTCGATCGCGCGGCGAGGCGTCATCAAGAAATAAATGGCCGAGAAGCGAGGAGGTTAAGCTGCTTTTTCGCCGCTTAACCGCGCTCCTTCGTTATCCGAGTCTTGGCAAGACTTCCGAGACATTAAAGAGAAGCAACGTTCGGAGACAGGTCGGGGGTTAAGCCCTGAGCTTATGGTTACTGTTAATAGTGGCGATTAACCCTTTACGAAGCCAATCTTTAAGCGCGGATAAAAAATCACGTGAGATTAGCGAGGAATATCGGAAACTCCTCGAAAAGGACGATACGACGTCGGCTTAACGAACAAGATATCATTTTGTTAAGAAGATCGAAAAAATGGAAAACTTTTTACGAGAATATTACGAGCATCCGTTATATTAAATCCCCTCGCTCTATTAGTCATTCATAAAGCATATCGCGAAATATAATTTATACATTATTACATTTTGCGCAATTTAATTTTCAATTATTATATTTGTTACGTTTATTAGCTATATTTCAAACTATTTCTAATAATGATATATGAAATATTATAACGCAATATCTCTCGCATAATATCGTTCCAAAGATATTTCAAAACTAACTCAAATAATTGGAAAAGCTTAATTTTATAATTTTGTTAGATATAATTGCGTTAAATACTAGCGAGAGAGAGAGAGAGAGAGAAATGCAATTTTATTCGTGTGTGAATACGATGGAAATTGTCCTCTAAAAGCAATAGATACGTTGTTGCTTTACGAAATAAAAATTTATGTTATATCACCTTTCGCAAAAATATACTATATATCGCAAAAATATTTTTCTTGATTATATCTCTCGCGAAGATAAAACTATGATAAACTTTCTTATTAGTTTCACCTCGGGCCATTCATCTTGAAGCAAGTCGCGTTACCCCGTCGACCCAAATACATTCGATCCTTCGTTATCGCCCGAGGATCTCGAGTCCCAGTCAGCAGAAACCACCTAATCCCCCGGAAAGCCCTCGTGAAAAAGCATCGATCTCCAATTCATTCCGTCCCGTTCGTGCGCGATCGGGCAGCGGAGCGGAAAGCTCGCCGCAACCGGAAGTGTCGGGACGGTCTCGATCGGCGAGAAAGAGAGATAGGTTCCTTTTTTAGAACGAGAATAATGACTCGAATTACGGTCATTTTCTGTGCGACCGCACAGGTGTCCGATTGTGCGCGCAAACGCACACACGCATATACACACACGTGCACACACACACACACACACACACACAGCACACTTCGCATTGTGGTGGCTAGCCGCCGCCGCTGCCACCACCATCGCCGCCGTACACGTGTCACCTGCACTTCCACTGCACGTCAGTAGCCGGCATTGCGCGGATATAGTAAAACTCACCCCGTGAGGTGCACGACCGCGTTAAACGCGCAGCGGTGCATTTGAAGAGTCGGATTTAAAATTGGCTCGAGTACCGAGAAGCGAACGGTCGAGCGCTAAACGCTTGAAAATTAAATTAAATACACATTTTAATATGTTCACCCGCTCAGGAGGAGATTCTCTGCACGCATTCTGCAATTAATTGATCGGAAAATGTTGAATCATACTTGAGTAATGTTTAATACAGAAAGATATATTCTGTCAAGTCTGTCATAGTTTTAGTTGTAGAATGATATATATATAATCGTAAAAAAGTTGTATATAAAGAATTGTCTGTTACTTGAGATGCTTTCTTAAAATTCGGTCGTTCGCCGATTATCCTTTAAATCGATGCACAGTAGCATTTATTTATACTACCGTTTTACGCGGTGATAAATTTACCTGAATCAGGGAGAGAGAGAGAGAGAGAAAGAGAGATTATCTACTTTTGCCTCAACTTCTACACTCATTTCCTTCCATTATGGCATTTTTCGATAGCGTGTGTCCCACGTTATATTCCTTCCGGCTTTTCTGTCGCCCCTTGACCCTTGTTATCTCGACTTTAGATAGCTCGGTGCTCTAGGATCGGTATTTAATTGAACTCTTCGGTTTCCCCATTACGTGAAAAGCCTGTTCTTCCAGCCGGGCACCGCCCGGAATATCGAGGTTGTCCCGTATATCACTGCCGGAAAAATTGCCATTGACATCCGGTCGCAGCCAGCTACTGACCGAGTTCTCTCTCGGGCGAGAAACGCGACGCTCGTTCAAGACGACGTCATCGGAAAGGAGCGAGACATTCGGTGCATCGACAGGACTTATCAATATACAGGGTGTTGTAGAATTGCCTTCTTCATTTTAATTCAGTTATAAAGTTTTTTAATCAATTTTAAATTTATTTTTCATTACACTAGATTCTGCGAATATCGATTATTAATAAAAAAAGTTTAATTTCTTTAATAATAAATTTTAATCAAATTTTTTTAGCACGATTTTAAAAATGAAAAAGGTTAACGACAAATACTTTAGTATCAATTAATATTACAAATTTTAAGCATTTCGATTCGAGCGTTTACATTGATCAACGATTTAAAATTGGAATTGGAGTTTATATTGTTTAAATAGCTGCAACCTAGAAGCTTAAATTTCGATAAAGCCAGTTATTTTTAATCGTCTTCAATCCACAAACTTTTGTTGCATCAGAACAATTTTATCAAAAGAAACGATGTCAAATTTAACGGTAAATTCAGGATTTTAGGACGCTAAATGCATCAGCGTGCAATGATGTTTAATAGCGCGATGAATAGAGTTCTAAAGATGAAACGGACGGGGCGGGTTAGAACATCTCTTGAAAAATTGATCGCCACGCGAAGGCGCGTTTATACAGAGACCAAGGTAAATCGCATTTAATTATTTCTTGGTTGCGCCACGGAGGTAAAAGCGGATCCGACTGCGCGCGTGCCCGACAGTTTGGTTGGCTGAATGCACACAGCAACGATTATATTCGCCTCGAAAAATAGAGGGAAGGATTAGCGCCTCTCTCTCTCTCTCGCTCTTTCTCTTCTCTTTCTCTCTCCTTCCGCGTTAAAATTCTCCGCTTTAGAAACACACTAATTTTAATAGCTGCATTATTCAAGCAATTGAAGCGTTACATGAACCGACACCATGTATTTTCTCGCTGCTACAACGTTTGCATTTTTCGCGATGCGCATTTATGCATTTTTTGATGTAAAAACCAGCGCGATTTTAAGTCTCGCTACATCACATTTCGGCACGCATCACCGACCTGTCATAAGACATAATAAAGAACGTGAC